CCCATGAAATCCCTATACAACCCCAAACGGACATGTTAGTTTTTTTAGTTTGGAAAAATCTGACTTCAATGAGATCGCAGCTAATAGGCTCCGAACTTTCACGTGAGCGGAGCTTCGGATGTGCAAAGAAAGGATATGAAACCTCTTGGAGTTGACCGAGAAGCGCGTGAACATTTGAGCTACGAATATAATCTAATCTATCCTCTGGTAATTTAACATAGCTATTGAAAATGGTCATTTATAGTGGATTTACCCATTAAAAATGGTGATTTTCCATAGTTATGTTAGTTTACCAGAGGGTGATATCAATTTTAGATCAATGTTTTGTCCAATAAAACTGGCTTTTTTTTTCCAACAAACATAAGGACTTGAGAAAGGTGAAACAGACATTTGACATACGTAGTTTGACCCAGACTTGTTGTTTTTTTATACCAACAAAAAAGGATTCAGATAACAATTACTTTCCTCCGAGATCCCCAGCGTGGCATATATATTCTGCCATAGATTCTGACATTTTATCTGACATATGTTCTTATAGATAATATGGCATTTATCTGACATTTTATAATGGCATATCTTGTGATACTCTATTTGACACCTTATCTGACATTCCATCCTGACGTACTATCTAACAATACTTGACATCTTATCGTATGTATTCTGACATACCATTTGACATATTCTGACATTTTACTGTATCTATTTTCATCTAGCTTCCAATATTCTGACATTCATTCTTACATATATTCTGACATTCTACCTGACATATATTCTGACATTTTATCTGGCATTTGCAGCATTTTTTTTCCTGGCATTTGATCTGGCCTTCTATCTGACATGTTATCCAACATGTATTCTGGATTCTACCTGACATATATTCTGACATTTTATCTGGCTTTTAGAGGGCTGGCAGGCTCGCTAGTTTGGGTTCGAAAGGCCCAGAGAGCTGGCAAGCTCGCTCTATTTGTCCGGGGAAGGTGGGTGAGTGGGTGTTTGTGTGTGCGCGGGACGTTCTGTTGAAATCTAGAATCTAGAGTCCCTCACCTGGCAGGGTAACCACCGAAATTTTAAGATGGCACTAACAAGAACTAGGTTTTGACCAACAAACAACGAGAACTTTTCCAGACTTTACCAACAGACAAATGTGACTTTTCCATCCGAAAAATGTCAACATTTTTTCGAGTTAGGCAATTTGATTTGTTTCAGCAAAAACCATTTGTTCTAAATGAGATTCAATCCATGGGAATTCTACAGTAGTTCACACTACAAAATAAGTGGGTCAGTTCAGCCCATGGTGAGCTACAGAATTTACGATTCCTGGGGTTACTCACCACCTGGAGTAAATAGAATGATTTCATCTATGGAGTGAAAACAATCTTTGGATGATTTGCTCAAATTTGGGCATGGGTCCAATTCTAGTTATATCTACATCCTGAATCATCAGGATGGGTATGATACAACATAATCAGCCAAAAATGATTCCAAAAATGGTGATAAATTGATTCTCAAATGACTTCAAATGTGTGTGTGTGTGTCTATTATGTATATATATATGTAATATACATATATATGCCGGGATGATACCTCAAACCAGCGAATAGCAGTAGATCACATGAAACCACAAACCTACGTGGTATAGTAATAACCCATTTCGTGAGACATCCCTTGAACTGGTTTCATGTTTGTGGAATGTTCGATTCAACTCCCTGGCTGGGTGGGGGAGCACTACGACGCGCGGATGAAGATGAGATTTTGGATGCTGGTGCTTTTGAGGCTGGAAACTGTAAGCTGGGATAGTGAGATATGGATCCCAGTGACATGCTTTTGAGTCAATTCTGACATCTTCTCACCATTGAAGAAGTTGTTTCATGGCAGTGTTACGTGGTGAACCTCCCGTATTTAAACAATCAGTTTTTAGTGGTCAATCACATCCCCCTTAAGAGAAAAAACAATCCAGGGTTTCTGGGGACTGTTTATCCGGTGGAAAGGAGTACTTGTTGTGTTCCAGGCAATGTTTGATTTGGTGCCTCCAAGAGATGCTATCTACATCTACTCTACACTTGTATTGTTGAGATAGTCCTACAGTCTTGCACCGGGGGTTTGCCATAGTGTCTGGTTTGATTATAAGAGGAGTATCTTCCAGATATACATATATATATATATTATAATTCTTATATAACCGCGATAGGCGATAGGACCAAGCCCCAAGCCCCAAAAAACACTCCGAAAGCGCGGCGTTCGGACTGGCTTCCCCAGCCCGAGCCTGGGAACGTTACCATTTTGCGCTGCCTGCCTCGTGGCCTGCGCCCGCGGCGGGCGAGCCGGCGTGGAGGGCCAGTGATCAGCAAAGATGAGGAGATTGTTAGCACCATTTTGGGTGACTTAAATGGAAAATTGAAGATGATTGAAATCAAATCATATCAATTCAATATTTGTCACAATATGTTTCTAATTGAATGATATATATTGAGATTAGCTACTATTTGGCTGAAAACAATCGGACATGGTCGGTCAAAAAAGATGGATACACTTGGATACATTCGACTTGAGCCACGGAGAGCTACTGCGGAAACTTTTGGTATTTTTCATTGTTTTGCATGGATCGTTGTTTCCCGATATTTGCAAAGTCAATATTCAGCAAAAAAAATGAAAAAGATGAAACAGCGAGGGGGAGCATTGGGAACATTTCAAAGGTCACCCAATATCTAGCAAACAGTGACTGCTAGTGCCGCTTGCATATCAAAAGATGTACAACTTCCGCTTGGACAGGGGTGGTAACAATATGTGTACCACATTAGCATTGGCAATCACAAGTGTTCCAATCCAAATGCCACTTTTCATTTGGAACATAATAATTGTCCAACCCAATTTTGAAAGGGGTTTATGTGCGTTCTCAGAGGGGCACCTGTACTTACCACAAGTCTGTAATACTTCGGGATCCGTAAGACCCAAACCAGTGAAACCTTGCGTGATCAAACCCGTTTTGGTGAATATTCGTATGCCCAAAAATGGGGACCTACCCTTCTGGATTTATTTGGAAGATGATGATCAATCAATGATTACCGGGTGGGAGTTCGGTGGGTTGGAGATGATCGGTGGGCAGGTGTTTTCGACAAAAATCAAGGCATCGACTTTGAGGGTCCATGGAATATCTATGTGCATACACATAGGTATGTATATGTATGTGCATTATAATGTATATATATATATAGTATTTATAACCAAATGTGTGTATATATATATATATAGAGACACACACATATATATAGATAGATAGACATTCTAGATGCATACACATAATATATATATATATATATATATACATACACATACATATTAAGTGGTGGTTGGAATGCACATCCACAAATCACAGCAGTTTACAGGATCACCTTTTTCGCCATCCCAAGGGGAGGTACAAAACACACCAAGCATTTTCTGGGGTATAATGCTGATAATTGTGGTGGATTATTATTTTCTTTTTTGGGACAACCATCTGAATATGAGTTGGGTGTGAAATTCATGGGATACCATGGGTAAGAGCGACTATAACCATGATATAGTAGAAATTTCAATGAGAATATTGTATGAGGCTTTGTAGCCAACATACAGTAATGTGATAATAATGTGATATTTGGGGGTGTCTGAACATCGGGTTTACCTCGAAAATGGCGATTTTGATAGGGAAAACAATGTTTAACCACTAACCACTAACCATAGGATTTGGGGGTACCCTAGTTCCAGACAAACCCATCTCTCCTGAAATATCCCACTTAAAACGTAGGACCCCGTAAGTTCTGAATCATTTGACCATTTGATATTTGATAGTTTGTTCACATGCTTGATATCTTCTGCCAGTCTACTGTATATTGATTTATGAAGGTTTCTACATATATTGGTGGCTGAAGAAAACTTCATTCAGCATGGATGAGAGCTCCACTTAGATCATCCAAGAAGTCATTTGCGCTCTTAGCGCTGGCCCCTTTCGCCGCAGTTCACTGCCAGCTTTAGAACCACGGCACGTCGACCCCTAGGGTCCTTTAGGGACCCTGGGCCCTGATGCGAAAGAGTGAAATCTGGAGGATAGGTTGGTGCCATGGCGAAACTAGCCTAGGGATGGCGAAACAGCAGATGGTTTGGCAGTACCCAAACCAAAAAAACCTGTACCTGTACCCAACCATTACATAAACCATATTTTTATGGAATGGTGGGGCCCACGGGTACCTACCCATCAACCAAGGGGGATAAATTTTCATGGTTTGGTGAGTGAGTCTTGTCTTGTGGAGGGTGAGCAACTGACAAGTCGTCATTTGCCGTTCAGGGGATGAACATGCATTGGCTAACAGGAACATGAAATTCCCATATAATTACCATTTACAAGCTGCAGTCGATGGATTCCAGGCCCCCAAGTCCTCAAGTCCCCAAGTCCTCAAGTCCCCGAGTCCGTTCCGCTTTCCAGGGGGGGTCCCAGAAAATACTCCATGGCCAAATTTGGACAGGCAGTTCCGAAGTCGCGGGTATGGCCTATGGTTCTTGCGCAAAGTCATTGGCATCCCAGTCGTCTCCCGCCCCATTGGGGGACCAAAAACAGGAGAACCCGTGGTTTATTGGTGGCCACACATATCTAGAGAAACGCGACCTATTCATGATGTTCAATCACTGCTGTAGATGGTGTCCCAATGCTGTTTGTTGTCTCTAGATGTAGACGTTTCTTTTACTTGGTCGTCATTGTTTGTGTCTAGGGAAAATGTGACCCATTGCATTCTCTCTTCTGAACCGCATCACCATGTCTCACTACAAATGGGTGTCCGTATCAGAATGTATCAGAACTTCCTTCCCCTTTGTATAAGACATTGCCACACATTTGAGGTCCCCAAGTTCGAGACCCAAATGTCCATGGTCATCCATGGTCTATGATCTCCTTCTCGCAGCCCTCATTGCTTAGAAACTTTGGCAGCCAGCAGCGGCGCCCATCGCTGAAAAAGCGATAGTTTCACTGCACCATGCCAAAGCTCTTCGTGCCTGTCAGATTCTGGGCAAAATCTTGATGGGGAAATTGAGTGAAATTGATGATTTTTGGGATTAGGATGTGGCGATTCATGTGTCGCTGTTCCATAGATTGACCATCGCTGTTGGGTTGAGTTTTTTGTCATATTGGGAATGGGCCAATAGCTGTTGGACCATTGAAATTCTTCCAGATCCACCCCCCACGCTGGCAGTCCTGTTTTTTGAAGAACTTTCGCAGCATAGGGGACCATGAACGGCTGGGATATATGACTTGGACTTGCTGAATTTCAGGCACTTCAAGGCTCCAGATTACCCCACAGATAGGGAACCAGCCAGAGTATGGGAATCAAAACCCATTCAGTGATATACTATATGAATCTATATGATACTACAACATAGTAGAATCATGTATAATACTTATACACAAAACCGGAGGTTTGCTTTCGGCCCCCCTTAAAAGAACGCCCCAAAACGAGGCTACGTGGACGAGCAAGTGGCACTCCTTAAGGAGGACTGAGTTTTAACAACATCAACAATTGGGAGTGAAATCACCAGATTTTTTTGGGTACAGCCATGTTTTACCACATAACAATGTGTAACATATCACATGACCTGACAGAGATTTACTGCAGATCGCCTTGCAGTGACACGACCTGATTTTTTCTATCCTCCTTTCGAAGGGAGATCAGTGAAAAATTCATGATCCATCAGCTTGGAGACGTACATGGGAAACATTTCGACACCAGGGGATCAGGATGATCAGCCCAGTGGGATGATCAAATCTCCCTGTCGTTATCGATTCTAATCGAGGGCTACCAAGTGGCTGCTAATTTGGCATGGCCATTCCAGGGAGAAACATGGATAAACATCTTTACCAAGCACCATTTTTTGGGGGCGCACTTGGCGCTTCACCAGGAGATTGCAGGTTTGAAGAAAGAGGTTGAAGACTTGCGCACCGGGAAGGTCTTAACGGCAGTCACCGTGGTGAAAGAGCCAGATCCAAATCCAAATCAGAAAGAGGCCTGCATTCCACTGGGTATCCGCTTCCGGGTGAATTGAGCTATGGTTGTGCATTCATGTTCTAATCAATATATTCAATAGATGAAGGAAAAAACACATTGGGGTTGTAGGTTCCTACGTTCCTAAGTGAGATCTGTCTGGAGTTGAGATTGATGGTGATTGCAACTGCAACGTGACTCCAGCTGTGACCCTTGATCAGAAGATTGGTAGCAACCGGTGACCCGCAAGGCCTGTTGGATTCTGGTTTGTTTGAAGATAGGGTACTACAAAATCCAATGGGTTTCCATTGTCCGTATTCAAATAGCAATTTTTGGGCATCTCAGAATCTCCATGTTTTAGGACAGACAAATCCAGATTCTGATGTAACTTAGCCCAGCATAGCCATCATGGATCCACATCAAGGCCATTTGGTACCTGCAAAATGTTGGAGAAATCGGGGGTTTTCACCCATGAAAGTCGACACTGATGAAAATTCTACCGAGAGCCAGAACGAGGTCCAACCCATATCCGCAAATCTTCTGTCTTCGAACACCATTCTTTGTTGTCCCCAATATTTTGCGGGAAGTACTATATGTTGTACTTGAATGTGAATCCTCGATTGCGGATAAAATAGCTAGCAGTTTCTGCTGGGAAACTATAGGTATATTATATGTACATACTGTGATATGTATGTATATGCAATTATAATCAGTTATATAATATATATATAATACATCATATGATCGAAGGAAGTCTAGAAGTCAAACTTCCGACAATATGGACAGATGAAAAGCAGCGATGGGAAGAGTCAGAGAAGAGAAGAGAAGAAGAAGATCAAAAAGAGAAGAGAAGAGAAAAAGAAATAGGATCAAAAAGAGAATGTCTCCGAAGACGGAAGATCCAGGTGCGCAAAAAGGTAGGAAAGTCGCGAAACACTGTGTTTTTTCAATGATTTGTGGCTCCGGAGAGTCGAAAAGTAGGCTCGCTAAAGCGGCGGGTGCGGAGCCAGCTGGGCAGATGAGAGATGAAAAATTGCACGCCGTTGTGGCGCGAAGCACATTCCCAAGTCAAAATGTTAAAAGCACCACATGTTCGGACCACGTTTGGAAGTTGAGCTGTTGAAAAAGTGCACGCCGTTGTGGGGCGAAGTACATTTCGAAGTCAAAAGTGCAAAAAACTGTGGGTAGGGGGCATTTTTGGACGTTCAGACGTTCAGATGTGGTCTCGCGTGGCAGGCGCAAGGGATTGTGCACCTTGTCAAAAGTGAGCAAAACCTGAGGGTTTTGTAGCATGTCTGAAAACGATGGCAGGCGTGGGACATTTGAAGAGGATCTGCAAAGATGCATTTTCCGTGGCAGGCGCAGTACAAGAGACATGTTCATCAGAGCTGTTAGGAGGTCCGGGCGCTGATTTCCTGAGAGGGGATGCATTTTGGAGCATCAGATCTTCAGTTTTGGGAAGATGATTTTGCGTGACAGGTGCAGCACTGCGTATGACCTGGCATCACTTTTTCGTGGTAGGCGCAGTACTTTAGACAGCTTTAGACAGGTGGAGTGGAAAAATCGCAAAACGCATTCGTACGAGGCTATCAGCTCTGCACTCAACTTTCCATTTTTAAAGGAAATCTCGCAGAATTGTTTCGTTTTTGATGTTGTCAACTTCGAAAATTGAGGACGTCTCGCAGAATTGCTTCGTTTTTGATGTGGTCAATTTGAAAAATGGAGGAAGTCTCGCAGAATTGCTTCGTTTTTGACGTTGTCAAGTTCAAAAAATGAGGAAGTCTCGCAGAATTGCTGCGTTTTTGATGTTGTCAAGTTCAAAGAATGAGGAAGTCTCTCGCAGAATAGCTTCGTTTTCAAACTTGCAGATAGGCAGATAGACAGATAGACAGACAGACAGACAGACAGATAGATAGATTAGATAGATTAGATAGATTAGATAGATTAGATAGATTAGATAGATTAGATAGATTAGATAGATTAGATCGATTAGATCGATTAGATCGATTAGATCGATTAGATCGATTAGATCGATTAGATCGATTAGATCGATTAGATTAGATAGATTAGATAGATTAGATAGATTAGATAGATTAGATAGATTAGATAGATTAGATAGATTAGATAGATTAGATAGATTAGATAGATTAGATAGATTAGATAGATTAGATAGATTAGATAGATTAGATAGATTAGATAGATTAGATAGATTAGATAGCTTAGATAGCTTAGATAGCTTAGATAGATTAGATAGATTAGATAGATTAGATAGATTAGATAGATTAGATAGATTAGATAGATTAGATAGATTAGATAGTTAAGATAGATAAGATAGATAGATAGATAGATGGATGGATGGATGGATAGATCGATAGATAGATAGATAGATAGATAGATAGATTAGATAGATGGATAGACAGATAGATAGATAGATAGATAGATAGATAGATAGATAGATAGATTAGACAGATTAGATAGATAGATAGATAGATGGATAGATAGATAGAGATAGATTAGATAGATAGATAGATAGATAGATAGATAGATAGATAAATAGATAGATAGATATATAGATAGATAGATAGATAGATTAGATAGATAGATAGATAGATAGATAGTTTAGATAGATAGATAGATTAGATTAGTTAGATAGATAGATAGAAAGATAGATAGATAGATGGATGGATAGATAAATAGATAGAAAGATAGATAGATAGACAGATACCTAGATAGACAGTGATAGACAGATAGATAGACAGATAGATAGACAGATAGATAGACAGATAGATAGACAGATAGATAGACAACTGCATCTGCACTACATCACACTACAAGTACAACTTCAACTGCCACTACAACTACACTACCACTACAACTACAACTTCAACTACACTTCAACTACACTTCAACTACAAGAACTACAGCTACAACCACAACTGCAATTTCAACTACACTTCAACTACAACTACAACCCAACTACAATTATTACAATTACAGCTGCAATTACAAGTGCCACTACAACTGCAACTACAACTACAACTGCAACAACTACTACAACTGCGCTACAGCTGCAAACGCAACTACAGCTGCAACTACAACTACAACTTCAGCTACACTACAACTACACTTCAACTACAACTTCAACTACAACTTTCACTACAACTTGAACTACACTACCACTACTACAGTTACCACGGCACTACACTACAACTACAACTACAGTTGCAACAACAACTACAACTCCAACTCCTACAACTATTGCGACTACTACAATTACTACAATGAAAACAATTACAACTTCAACTACACTACAACTACACTACAGCAACTACTACTACAACATTACAACTTCAACAACATCAACACCACTACAGCTACAAGTACAACAACAACTACAACTACTGCGCTACACCACACTACATCCAGGAGTTGTGAGTGGGGTGACCACTGCAACGATTGCAACCACTCCAAAAAAAACAGCTCCAACCACCTTTCGGTCCATCAGTGGATTCGTTTTGCCATCCGTGGTTCATCACAACAACCAACCTCTCCTATAGGTTTCCTATTTCTGAAACTTCCGCCACCGCCTTGTGCGGCACTACTGACTACTGGTATATACACAGAATATATAAATAATATACAGTATATGCATGTAAACATATTTTTTACCCCCTTACAGAAACGTGCGCCCCCAGAAACCATCGTTTTAGCAGATCTATTTTGGGTTCGAATCTATGGACGGTTTTTTGTTGGTTAAGTCCCAACAAAAAGTTGGCTAAGTCCTCACTCTTGTTGGTCAAGTCTTCACTTTTCTTGGTTCAATCCACATTTCGGTTGGTTATTTTTTTTGTGTTAACAGAATCCACCAGTTGAACTGCTTAAATCCCTGTTGTGCCTGAGTGGAACATTTGCACGAAAACCCAATGTTTGGCTGGATTTCCGGTCAAAATTTCCCTTCAACCCGTTAGCAAATCATCCAAGTGGAACCCCATCTTTAGGGTTCGATGTTCAATTCCATGAAATTTTCCTTTGTCAAACCACATTAATCCCTATTTTGCTTACTGAATCCCCATTGCATGCCCAAGTCTTGGAGGGGATTCTCCTTAATTTACCTGGTGGTTCACCCCACGAAATCGCTTCTTAAGCGTGGTGAACCACGAAGTACTTGGGGATCTTGGGGGTGCAGGGGTTCGAAATGGATCCATTGCAATAAGCCTCATAAGTTGGGATACACATCCCAAGACTTTAGTTTAATGATATATATATATACATACATCCGTGATTATATACAAAACCTGTTGCTTACTGAATCCCCATTGCATGCCCAAGTCTTGGAGGGGATTCTCCTTAATTTACCTGGTGGTTCACCCCACGAAATCGCTTCTTAAGCGTGGTGAACCATGAAGTACTTGGGGACCTTGGGGGTGCAGGGGTTCGAAATGGATCCATTGCAATAAGCCTCATAAGTTGGGATACACATCCCAAGACTTTAGTTTAATGATATATATATATATATATAATTATATATATATATACATACATCCGTGATTATATACAAAACATGTTGCATATATATATATTATATTTATTTATAGTTGCATAAACATATATACATAATTATATGTATATATATATAGATAGATATAACCATACTTATTACTGGAACTGCACCAGGTGGAAGGCGAGATCGATCCCACTGGCTCGCAGAGTGCTGGCTTCGCCGGCTATGCGTCCCCGGAGCAGCCAAGCTCGCCGCACCTTGGTTTTTTGTGGTGGACCTCCAGGAAACATCGGGATTTCATGGGATTTCGCCATCTAAAACTTGGATGACTTGGATTTAACCATGAAAAACCGTGGATTTATCCATCAAACATCCAAAAACACCGTTGGTGTTGGTGTTTCTATGTCCCGAGGTAAAACAACATTGTGAATTCACCTGAATTCTGTGATATTCCTTTTTTACGTTTCCCCAGCTACAAGAATTGTGTCAACATACAAAGACTCTGTACAGTACACAAGTCTTCTTTCTCCCAGGAACAAACAATGACTTCGGCAGCGTTCAAATATGTAGAGGGAAAAAAATGGGCTCAAACTGTATAGCACCCTGGAAAACCGAAACCCACCGTACGTGTAAGTGGGGAAGCTTCTTTCTGGCCTACGTTGCCAGACACCATCGCTAAGTTCGGCGAGAGTTCGGAGAAAGGGTTCGCCAAAAAACATGAGGTGAGCATAGTAAAATGCAGCTGTTTTGAACACCACTCACTTGCAGAGTTCTCATGAACACAGATGTTTGGCTCTTGGGTTCAACAACATCTGCCCCCCAAGCTAACATTTTGATACATTTTGCATCGTATGTCACATTATAATACGTCCTCGCCGGCATTGCCAAGTGGTTGAATTTACATCTGATCCAAAAAATAACGCTACTTTCTTTTCCATCCATAAGCGTTTCTAGTGTCGTTTCCCCAGCATTTTTTCAGTTCGGTAAATCATCAAACTCTCCCAAGGCCAAGCCCCACCACGTCGGAGAATGGGAAGAAGCGAGGGACCCTCCGGGGATCTTCCACACAGGCTGGGATGTAGGTCATCGGTGGTATATATGTATAATTAGATATATCTATTCATAGCATATTATAACTTATAATTACAGCACATGTTGGGGTATCAGTGGAAAGAAAGAACCATGAATCAAGTGGGAAGTTAGCCCAACATGGGATCATGGGTTGTAACAACCCCCGAACCATGAATCTCTGACGAACCAGAGAGCATCTCAGTAACGACAAATACACTGAGAGATGGTATGCTTCAAGATGAAACCACCCTTTTTTATCATTTTTTCCTTTGGGTAGCTACAGGAAGAGGCTAGATTCAGATAGGTCAGTTGTGTTTCTAGCTAGGCCTAAACATCAATTTATGCTTGAGATACAGTTGGATGGGTAAACCTTCTTGTAAACTGCAGGGCCCTTGATGTCAAAATCCCATTCCTGTGGTGCGGTCATGGATAGCTGCCGATTGCTGTTGATCTAAGCTAAACGCAGCAAAATCGGAATATCAAAGTTACATGGTGGGATTTTGCAGTTCAAGGATCAACATCAGGATTTCATTCTTCTGGAAGACAGTCACTGGCCGTAGTTTTTGACATCCCCCATTTTGAAACCCTTTCGTGAGCACATTCCCTTCCAGTCGATCTCAGCGCTCGGCGGAACCCAGACATTTGCCATGGTTTGTTACTCGGATGTTGGGTGGCACTTTGGGGATCGGCGATGGGGATTTTGGGGTCTGAAAGAAAAAGTCCATTCCAGGCAGGTGAAAAACCATGAAAAACCCGATTTAGAGCTATGTCACGAATCAGAACCCTGATGGTTGAGTCATGTTGAGTGCAATGGTTGCAAGTTTCATAAGTTTCATGGGAATCCCATAATTCCTTTCATGTGGATGATCATAGTTCCTGATTGAAATCCCTATCAACATTATCAACCAGCATAACAAATTTGGTCACTCACGACCCACAGTCACCACCGGGTCCATGATGATACCGGTGGCTGAGCCACCACCAGCAGCCCCCGAGGCTTCGACCGAAAGAGCGCTTGGAGTATTCCCTTGGTCACGACCATTGACGAATTTTCAGATTGGTTCGATGCTTTTCTAGAAAAGCTGTTGGATGATGGGCACATGGGGCATGGTCGGCATGGTCATGTTCTTTTGCCATTTTCTTTTCATTCCCCTTTCCATCATCGGTCACATTAGTCACATTCCAGGTGTTTCGCCAGCTAAACCGGTGAGAATCTGAGACTGATTCACGAGAGAAATCCACGGAGCTTTGACACAGAAACTGGGCTCTAGCACTACACCGTCAGGTGTTCATTTACGTATGTGGGTAAACAGGGTTGATAAGAAGCATCAAGTTCAAGTTCTAGCCACAATGTGGAACAATATATATATATAGATATATATATATATTATATACACATAAATTAAAGTTAATCATGGCAGCGTTGGCCTTCTAAAAGACAAACACACGTCATTTTACCCAGGTCAACGATCAGGCAACAAATTCAGTTCATGAGGGTTTTACCTGGGCCTGCTCCAAGGCATAAGTGGGTCTTGTCTTAAGCCTATAAAGGTGTATTCATGCTTGGGAATAATTCTGTGTGATGCCATGACATAGTGACAGTGATAGCTATAGAATGATGCAAGAAAGATAAACAAAAAGACAGCTTCGCATAAAAAACACGTCCATCATATAGCTAAATATAACATAATCCCTATTAAAATATCCCATTGTATCCCTATTATCAGTTGCTATCAGATATCACATGACTATCACCTGCTCAGAAAACAATCAGGTCCTGTCAGGTTTCAGACTTATTTGCCACACGTAAAGATAATGCCATTATATAAATTCCATATTAAATCCCTATCAAATCCCACAGCATATCCCCTTTAAATGCTACAAAGTGCCATTAAGTCCGATTTAGATTCCATGAAATGTCATCAACTCCTATTGCATCCCTGTTAAGTCCCATGAAATCCCAATAAAATCCCATGAAGAATCGCTATTCCTCAGCTGCATCCCGCGGAATCCACCTACGCGCGGTCCCAGTCCCTAGGACGCGACCTTGGCCATGATACTCCTCTTAGCCAACGTTCTGATGCAGGGCCTCTTTATTGGTTCCTTGGCACTGATCCACCACCAAAAGACCAAGGTCGCATCCAATTTTGCCAGGGTCAGAAACAACACGATGACTGTATTTTTTTAAAAAAACATTTTTCAATTTAGTCTCAGATTTTGACTTAAATCTGCCAAGGAGTATTAGGGTATTTGAAGCATCATCACATGAAAGAAAATCAGGTGAAGTATTGCCAGTGCAACCTGTGCCATGCAATGGCAGGAACAATATGATTTCACATGACATTTCACAAGACAACGATATCGTTTGATGATAACAAATATCTGCATTTTCACACTATCCCACTGCGCACATGCGATTCATCGGAAATATGGAGATTTGAAGACGGTTTGTCCATCTACAGTACTGGACCTACACTTTGCAGGTTTTTCATTGGGACAACCTGAATTTTGTGCAGTCTACAGTTTTGGTCCCTGGAGTCCATGCCCACGTGTTTTGCAAATCTAACGTACGTACGTGATCTCAGAAAAATGTGATAGACGAATTGGCATGGCATGATATCAAATATTGTTTGGCATCATCTCTTCACTGCGATGTGGCGTGTGGTCAAGTTACGTAGGATTAGGTGGGTATGGTTGTCCCACCATGATAAGGAAGCAGTTAAATCAATTGGACCCTTTTGATGAATTGATTACTTTGCAATCATGCCAAGAAATCTACATAAATATTGCATTTGATAGCGTGATGTTTGGCTCTTATTTATACAACATAATCTCACGTTGCAGGTATACAATTGCAGCAGTGGACTGCATGTGTAGTTGCAGCAGTGGACTGCATGTATGTTGGGGTTTATTTCGTCAATCGGAGTACTGGTACCCAATCTTTGACACATCGCGTCTTCCCGTAGCCATACCAGGCCCTACCATGATGTCTTTTTTGGTATACCGTTCATTATATTCACTGGGTTATAAATTTGTAAAATCGGGCACGCCGAAACTTTGATGCTTGGCGCTGAAAATGAACAAAGTCTTGACGCATCCCCAAATGATCCTATCTAAATTTGGAGATAAACCATCAATCAACAACAGCAGTTATCAATGGGGGTCAATTTTTGCCCAGTTCAAACTAGTATTTGGGAGACCTTCTTGAAGGGATGTGAAGGGTAACGAGATGAAAACGCAGTATTCCCCAGATTTCCGCAGTTAGTTTGGAGGAATATTTCATACATTCATATCTAATACCTAGCTTTAGCTTCACCTTCAAGGTTTCTAAGGATAAGTCACATGGGTTTGTAACACAGGGTACCCCAAAACCGACTGGTTAAGAATCGTTTTCTATCTTATTTGCTGGCCGTTTTGGGATATACACCATTTTCAGTCACACCCACATATCATATTGGATATAGATCCGACTATAATGTATCCCCATTTCAATGGTTACGAATGTTTATGTTACGTGTTACCCATACACATTTTTATATCAGATGATAGCAGCTGGTACCCTCTGGTAATCAAACATGGTAATGGAAAATCATCAATCTATCGCTGATTTTGCCAGCTACAACCTCGATTGAGTGCAGGGATTTTGCAGCCATGTTTGATGGCGGGTAAACTGATTTTATATCAGCTATCAGTCCCGATGTTCGTCGCTTCCATATTCCCAGAAGGATTTCTGCTAGTTTTTCATCCCCATCATCCAGCTCTCCAGCTCTGAGGCATCATTCAGGACGGTGCCTTTCTGGGGGAGGACTATTCCAACCAGGCGCCGGGAGGGGTGGGTGTTAAGCTTCAACATCTGTGTATGGGGGATAGATAGATAGATAGATAGATAGATAGATAGATAGATAGATAGATAGAGATAGATAGATAGATAGATAGATAGATAGATAGATAGATAGATAGATATATGTATACGCGCAACGCCTGGGCTTTGCCCAGGCGTTGCAGCGTAGAGGTTTCCCATTCACAAACAGATGATGTTGCAAATTACCGTAATTCCTATGGGAAAAATAACAAAGGTACTAGGGACTATTAAACAAATAAGGTCAAAACACCCGAAATTCCTATGGGAAAAACAAAAACGGCATAACATTTGAAATTCCTATGGGAAAAAACAAAGGCACTAGGAAATTTTAAACTCTCAAATCGTGAAACTTAACATTCAATTAGGAAGATCAACAAAGATATTAGGGAATATTAAACTCCCACCCCCCGTTAAACCTTAAATTCCTACGGGGAAAACACCAAAGGTACTAGGGCCTATATAAAAAAATGTCAAAACATCCGAAATTCCTATGGGAAAAACAAAACGGTATTAGGGAATATTAAACTCCCACCCCCGTTAAACATTATATTCAATTAGGAAGATCAACAAAGATATTAGGGAATATTAAACTCCCACCCCCGTTAAACTTCTATATTCATTGAAGATCTTCAATAAGGGTTTAATTCTCCCACCCCCGTCAAACTTCTACATTCATTGAAGATCTTCGGTGAGGGTTTAATTCTCCCACCCCCGTTAAACTTCTACATTCATTGAAGATCTTCAATAAGGGTTTAATTCTCCCACCCCCTTTAAACTTCTACATTCATTGAAGATCGTCAATAAGGGTTTAATTCTCCCACCCCCCGTTAAACTTCTACATTCATTGAAGATCTTCAACAAGGGTTTAATTCTCCCACCCCCTTTAAACTTCTACATTCATTGAAGATCTTCAATAAGGGTTTAATTCTCCCACCCCTGGTCAACTTCTACATTCATTGAAGATTGTCAATAAGGGTTTAATTCTCCCACCCCCGTTAAACTTCTATATTCATTGAAGATCTTCAATAAGGGTTTAATTCTCCCACCCCCGTCAAACTTCTACATTCATTGAAGATCTTCGGTGAGGGTTTAATTCTCCCACCCCCTTTAAACTTCTACATTCATTGAAGATCTTCGGTGAGGGTTTAATTCTCCCAGCCCCGTTAAACTTCTACATTCATTGAAGATCTTCAATAAGGGTTTAATTCTCCCACCCCTGGTCAACTTCTACATTCATTGAAGATCTTCAACAAGGGTTTAATTCTCCCACCACCGTTAAGCTTCTACATTCATTGAAGATCTTCGATAAGGGTTTAATTCTCCCATCCCCTTTAAACTTCTACATTCATTGAAGATCTTCGATAAGGGTTTAATTCTCCCACCTCCGTTAAACTTCTACATTCATTGAAGATCGTCAATAAGGGTTTAATTCTCCCACCCCTGTTAAACTTCTACATTCATTGAAGATCTCCAATAAGGGTTTAATTCTCCCACCCCCATTCATTGAAGATCTTCGATAAGGGTTTAATTCTCCCGCCCCCGTTAACCTTCTACATTCGCTGAAGATCTCCAATAAGGGTTTAATTCTCCCACCCGCCCCCTTTAAACTTCTACATTCATTGAAGATCTCCAATAAGGGTTTAATTCTCCCACCCCCGTCAAACTTCTACATTCATTGAAGATCTTCGGTGAGGGTTTAATTCTCCCACCCCCGTTAAACTTCTACATTCATTGAAGATCTTCAATAAGGGTTTAATTCTCCCACCGCTGGTCAACTTCTACATTCATTGAAGATCGTCAATAAGGGTTTAATTCTCCCATCCCCTTTAAACTTCTACATTCATTGAAGATCTTCGATAAGGGTTTAATTCTCCCACCCCCGTTAAGCTTCTACATTCATTGAAGATCTTCAATAAGGGTTTAATTCTCCCACCCCTGGTCAACTTCTACATTCATTGAAGATTGTCAATAAGGGTTTGATGATGTTGATGGTGATGATTATGTTGATGATCATGATGTTGATGTTGATGTTGATGATGATGATGATGATGATGTTGGTGATGATGATGATGATGGTGATGATGATGATGATGATGATGATGATAATGATGAGCATGCGTCGCCCGTCGTCATTGCGGGTCCGGGCAAAACCCAGGCATTATATATATAAGTGGCAAATGATGATTGGTCTGGGTTTTATCTTTGTTTTCCATTGGCAGGGTTATGAGGAATATCCCACCCTGCCCAAAGGGGGCCGTTGAGTGTTCTGATCTGTTTGCTTTTTTTTCTTGATACTCGATTTACCAGGCAAGCTTGCAGGATCATAGATGGAATTACAACTGGTGAAGAGCCCTTGTGGTCATAAGCCTAGACTCCAGCTATTGATAGCTTGCAAGAACTCTTCCATTTGCCAGATACTTACTGAAATCGAGTTGCCACTACCACTGGGGTTTCGCCATGCAGGTCGACGTGGCAAAACAGTGGCGCAGGAGTTTTGCTCATGACTCCAAGTACCTGGCTACTTGGATTGACAATTGATCATCAACCAGAAGTGGTACATGAAGCAGAATTCAATGGCCATATCTATCTCTATATAATTATAAATTATATATATATATACGGCAGGGGGAGGAGGTTCCCCGAGAGGACGTCAATCAGGATCATTGAATTGGAGAAAAAACATGGTTTCACTGTGGTAAAATGGAGATTTTTCATGTCGTTCTTTTCATTGTTGATGTCTTTCAATTACGGATCATTTTTTTTTCGTCCGTCGAAGTTGAAGTCAATTATGGACCATCACAATATGTTTTTTTTTGGTGTTCTTATTTTCTCCATTGGAATTACGAGGTGCACATTTTGTGCTATATCAAAGATCATTGGAAAAGGGTATAATATACTGTGTTTCCACAGGTATTTTGATGTGATGTTGTTTTTCATTGGTAATTCACAGTGATTTTGCATATCATCAAAATTTCCGAGTGCTGTGAGTCAGCTGTTTTTTCTGTTTTTATACAAAAGCATTAGTACAAGACATATCAACCACTATAGAAGGCACAAACCAGGCTGCCGGCAACTTTTCATTGCCAACTCCTTGAAGCGTGCGAGTGCATTCAAGACACTTTCCAAACCAGGCTTTTTGCTTACATAGTGCACTGCTAGAACGTTGCGATGTTTACACCCCACCCCTTCACGCAAGTTACATGAACGTTTTTACACCCCACCTCTTCACGCAAGTTACATGAACGTTATTACACCCCACCCCACCCCAGCCCACCCCTTCCCCCCGCATGACTCATGCATGACAAGTACAAGAGAACTTACACTAGCGTAGCATGACGTATGCGTGACAAGTACAAGATAACTTACACTAGCGTAGCATGACGTAGACGTCACAATTACAAGAGAACTTACACTAGCGTAACATGGCATATGCCTGAGAAGTACATAACATGACTTTAGAATGACCGTAACATCCACGTAGCATGCACGTCGCCTCCAATTCTACGCAAGTTACATGAACGTTTTTACACCCACCCCACCCCACCCCCCCTTCACGCAAGTTACATGAACGTTATTACACCCCACCCCACCCCACCCCACCCCTTCCCCCCCTCGGGGAACCCCCGCCCCCAAGGGTATATATATATTTATATAATGTCTATTCTGGATGAATAAAAAACATTGCGCGGTTTTCCGTCGGAATGATCATCAGCTACCATCCCAAAATGACATATCTCCGTGTGCTACTCCACTGTACTCCACCAAGCAGCGAAAATTCCGAAGAAGGGGACTCCGCTAGCCGCTAGGCAAGTTGATTTATTTATAACATTTTATAACTAGGCATACTAGATCTAATTAGGGTTCATGGAATATACTTACATATGAATATATATATATACATATATGTATAGTTGGATAGGTGAAACTAGACCCTCGATGTGGTTTATAACAAGGATAACTAGGGTTGATGGCAGATATATCTACACTTCTACGCGGACCTCCTGTTGTATTGCTTCAGCTATCTAAGGACAATTTAAAACCCGTCCTCATCTTGTGCATGTCAATCTTTTCAAATCTCCACCCAGGACCTAACGGACCGGAGTTTGGCGTCGCGCGTGTGCAACTGGGCCCTTTTCTAGAGGCACAGATATGTCACGCGCTGTGAGGAACCGGAGTTGTAGGTGTTTATTGGGGGACAAGAAACCAACATAAACCAGGCAATTTACAACACTATATAATTATTGGGTATTTATATCATGGAGATATGTATGTATATATATAATGCCAACACCGGATTAATAACCCCCCCCCAGAAGGTAGGGGGGTACCTTCTGGCTAGTTTTCTTGACGACCCCTTAATAATAAGCAACTCTGAACCATAAAACTTTGGATATGGCTTACGTCAATTAGATCTTAATAGAATTCCATTGGATTTGTCAAAATTTCATGGATCAGAAAGGTGGTTGATTAATCAGGGGCAAACCCTGATTATTATTAATGGGGGACATGGGCTCATGGGGGGTACCCTTTGGGAGCTATCCAAACTGATGATTTTTATAAAGATTTAAATTAGAAATCGATCATTTGGGGAATAGTTGTTTTTTGAAATTTTCAATGATCAACTTAAACCTGAAGTATAACAATGATGATTAAAAAAAGGTAAAAAACAATTGGAAATAAATAGAATTGGAAATAAAAAATGTTGGATAAAAAAATGGATTTCAGAATTGGTGGTTGATTAATCGGGGGTAGGCCAAAGTGTTTATTAATCTGGGGGGACCACCTGTTTTTAAATTACATTTTTTTTTGGGGGCAGTTGCTGTTGATTAATCGGGGGGCATTATTAATCCTCACTTGGCATTATATATAATAATCGGATCAAGCCGTGGGATATCTTAATGTACAGCATATACATAGTGGCATTAATGTATATAAATGGAGATAGTAGCATGATATAACGAACGCCATGATATGAAACTTTGTTCAAACATGGAGGACAGACCTCCTGTTTATTGCAATCTCAATGGACAAAAAGTGCTAATGACACTGTAAACAATTGGCTTTGGGGTGCCCATTTTTGAAACACGCCCATATGACGCCCATATGACATGGCTTAGCAACCACTGATTGGTATTTGGCAAAGCAGGGGACCGAAGTATCAAAGATGGGAATGTAGACGGTGCAATGGAGATCATAGATGGGTTATTGCAACCAACAACAAAGAGCAAATGCGCGGACACCAACCAACTGGAGATATCTTGATCAACCAGACTTTGACCCAGTAATAATGGGATGTTGACCATCGCACATGGAAATCCCGTAGCATCCCGTAGCAATATTTGCCAATTATGTTTCGAAACCGCAAGGCCCATCGGTATGAGCTGGTCTGTAGCCATACGCATCAAAATTGGTGTTTTGGTCCCTAAGATCTTGGACATACCCAGAAAAGGAACAGGGCTGGAAAGGCCCAGTGGCTCGAAAGTCAAACAGTATAGGAACAAACAGAGAGTGGTCCATATCCATTGTTTTTTCCTGAAGGGTACTACTATTTTTTTAGATATCAGTCAGGGATGGGCATCCTGTTTTTTGTTCCCATGTTTTTTTTGGGACGATCAAGTATGGCAGCAATGTGTTGTTCACGCTTCTTCCTGTAGCAGTAGCAACTCTCGGTCATTGACTTCTTGACACCCAGTTTTCCCCAAACAGTGTGGCCACACTGAGGGGTGCTTACGGTAAGTGTTAAGGCCCGGTGTTCATTCGAGGTCCCCGGTCGTCGCGTATGGCATTTTCCCTGTAAATTTTCGCACATAATGGCTCTTGTGAAATGTCCATGTGCATTTCGACTGCGCAGGCTCGCACAAAACGATGTCCCAGGAGGTGTCCCCGGCCATTTTTCCTGTACATTTCCACACAAAATGGCTCTTGTCAAATGTCCATGCGCATGTCGCCTGCGCAGGCTCGCATAAAGTGTGCTTCCTGGTCTTGGGATCGGTCTTCCTCCTCAACATGCTCCTCCTCAACATCATCATCTTCCTCCTCCTGCGCATCAACATCATCCTCTTCCTCTCCTCCTCATCATCATGATCACCATCATCATCATCATCATCATCCTCATCCTCATCATCATCATCATCATCATCATCATCATCATCCTCACCATCACCATCATCATCATCATCATCCTCATCCTCATCCTCATCATCATCATCATCCTCATCATCCTCATCATCCTCATCATCTTCATCATCATCATCATCATCATCATCATCATCTTCATCCTCATCCTCATCCTCATCATCATCATCATCATCATCCTCATCACCATCCTCATCCTCATCATCCTCACCATCATCATCATCACCATCATCATCATCATCATCACCATCATCATTTTCATCATTATCATCACCATCGTCATCATCATCCTCATCATCATCAGCGTCATCATCAACAGTATATAATTCATGTCATCATCGACATTATACTACATTACCCTTTTTCTCGCCCCCACACTGTTGGGGGTCTCTTGCCGGGATAATTTTTTTCGTGCGGTCCAAACCAACTTTACTTCCTCGTCAGAGCAATTAAGTAACAGTCCTGTTCCTTCCTCTTTTGAGTTTACTATATGATTAACAGTCTTTTTTTTGTGGGGGTGGGGAATGTTGATTCCCTCGTCCTTTGCCTTCCCTTTTGAACGTCTGTACTAGCAGAATCTGGATCAAATCAATGGTCCCCAAACGGTGCCCGGTGCCAAGCTGCACTTATATTAGCGCCGTTTGAACCCATCACATTCCCTGGCTCTGAGTCACCTTTCATGATGTAATATCTGATGTAGTGACTGTTCATGTTGTCCGGAAAATCGAAAATCGATCCATCGATGTTGAGTTAACTCTTGATGTTGACTGTTGATGGTAAGTCAATGACTGTTCCACACATGGCCACTCAAAACCGCAAGAACCGATCCAGCGATATTGGCCCAGTTTAGCTCAGACGTTGAAAAAGGATTGTAGTACATCGAATGTCATCCCACCGTCGATTGACACTGTGTAATTTTGACCCCTGGCTTTTTGGGTGGTTGTGCACCTCCCCAGCGCAATGGTGATGGTTTTCAACAGTTGGGCCCCGGGTTTATGTATACGTAGTTTATACCACTTTATACCCCACAATACCAAAGTATATCCTCACCAATATTGTTGGTTCATGTTGTTGGTCATGTGTTTCACCCACACACACACATTTAAATTATCCCATGGTGGTTTGTCCGTGTCATCTGAGGCAATGAGGACGGGTCTCTGATCTTTGCAAACGGCCACTGACCTGGAAAAAAATAGTGACATTCGAAGGTGGACTTTTTCATTGGTTGCTTTCTGGTCTTATGGATTCTCATTGTAGGTCTTTTAAAGTTTTTTTTTTTGCACTGGTTGATACGATTACTTGTTCTCATATTTTCCATATTGGTTTCTGTTTGTTTTTCCAGTTGTTGGCAATGTTACCTTCTTGTTGATTTCTGAAATCCCGCATTGACCAAGATTCCCAAATGGACACGGACCAACACCAAACATCACCAACCAGGCCCTTTCCCGTGCCCCATGTTGATGACCAAGTATATTTATACTAGGGGACTGACGCAGAAATGACTGATCATTTTGAGGATCTAGAAGCCTTCTACGAATCGATTTGTCATCGGTTTGACAGCGTTTTCATCAGTTTCTACCTAGCTGCAAGCAGATTCACAACACTGCTATTGTTCTCTCAATATAGCGATGGATCAAAACCTATGATTCATAGCGGGGTTTTGATCCATAGCCATATCTGGCAAGGAAACCAAACATGTTGTTACATGTGTCGGAAGATGGGATAGTTATATCAAGTTATATCCCTTAAAATTGCAATTCTAATTGATTCTTCATCAGTGGGTTTAGCCACATATTTCGCCATTGTTCATACATTCTCATCATAGGCGCATTGAACCCTAGGTAGCCCGCCTCGTTTGGGTTTGGGGCGGTTTCACCTTTTTTTTGGTATCCTATCATGGTGGAACATTCTCAGAATTGGATGGGGAAAATTGCACAAAACCTTTATATTTGGGGGTAAGAACCATGACTTGCTGTACTCGTAGATTTTCCCTTAAACCAATCAATTGAGAGATACCAAGGACTGCAATCACACACCCTCCACCAGTTGGTTTACCCACATATTTCGCCATCGTTGCTACGTTAAAACATGTTAAAACCCAGCAAAAAAAACGTGTTTCTCCTTGTGAGCGTGTTCCTGGTCGAACCCATTTTTTCCTGGTTAAATCCAATATCGCCCCCTTTCTATCCTGATAAAATTTCCAATCGTTCCCAGTTGAATCCGCATTCTTCCCGGTCAATGCCCAAAGTTTCCTTTTTAAATCATGTTCAATCCAATTTGTTTGCGGTCAAATCATCACTTAAAGTGTGTTTTTGTTGGTGGAATCTTCATTTTTGTTGGTGAAAATCCATGTACATCCCATTTCCAGATCTCACCTCCCAGGTCAGGTGGAGGTCCTCGCACAGATCAATGCATTCCTCGGGTCACTCGGCCGATTTTCGACAGGTTCTGGGCAAAATTGGTGTCTAACATTCGTGGACCATGTTTATCATAAATTTGCAGTAGTACTCCAGTACTCCGGGAAAATCGGTGACCAACCAGGGAATTCGGTGACCCATCAGCCCGCTCTAGACGACGAAGACTTCTTCCAAGGTGGATCTGGTTGAAAACCAGCTGGCCGAAAAAAGTTTTGTTGTTGTTGTTGTTGTCGTCGTCGTCGTCGTTGTTATTGTTTTTGTTTGGCCAATCTTGGAAAGGTCTACTGAAATCCTTAAAGCCTTAACTCTCTTGAATCCAGAATTTTAAATTATACATCCATGCTTGCTAACCAAATCCATCTCTCGTTCGCCATCCGAGGATGGGAAAGGACGACTTTGAAGCACCGTGGCTTCAGCCCGGGGTCATGCTGTCGGTCCTCTGTATTCTCCTCTGGTGTCTGCAGCCTGGCTCACAGGCTGGCGCTTTGTTTGGCAATGCAAATTGAGATTTTATGGGGATTTATGATTTTTAAGATTTGGTTCTTGATATTTTGATCTGAAGATGCTTGATTGGGGATTTTTGGGTATGAACAAATCATCTGAAAATAAATGATTTTACATGATTTGTCTTTATTAATTGTGAATTCAGCATCAGAAATCGTGATTTTTCATAATATGGAGAGTCATCCATTTTCATATGTTTTTTCATAATTTCCGTGGAGAAATCCCATTCAGCTGGCAGTCTCCATCCCCAAAAAAACATCCCATGTAGACAAATGTAAGCCAACAAAACCTGGTGATTTCTCAGCCGTAATGTGGATTAAAAAGGGCGCAGATGTTGAGTTAAACACCAGATCACTGTGATTTAAAATATCACGGAAACAAACGATGGTGATTGAACTATCAAGCGGCTTGGCAAGTTGATTCTCAAACAGTGGAAAGAATATCTTCCCCCAGAGGCCCGCGGGCAACCGCCCATCCCAAAGGAAATAAACCTACCATTTGGGGATGGCTTATGCCATCCATTTATGGTGATTTTGGGGATGGCTTCTTATTGGGTTTACCACATTAGATGGGTTTATCCTTGAAAGTCAACCGCAAGGGTTAGCCTACTTTGAGGGATCAAACTCTAGATCCGAATCAGGGGACTGGGTCCATTCGTTCCTCACGTTTGAACCATAGCCACACTAGTAATTACTCTAAACTGAATTTCGGAATATCAGGGAGGTTACCAACAAGTAGAATGATTGCAAGTAGAATGTTTTCGAAATCAACTTGCTCTCTTGTGGTATTTCATGGTTGTTCATCTCATGTCAAAACATCTGATGTCAAAACGAAGCTTTTGTGCAGGACTTCCTTCAAAAAGTGAAATTGCAAAATGTGAAAACGAAGCTCTCGTGCGAGACTTGCCTCAAAAAGTTAAAGTGGGAGATGTGCAAAAGAAGCTTTCGTGCGAGACTTCCCTCAAAACGTGAAAGTGCAAGATGTGGAAGCGAAGCTTTCGTGCGAGACTTCCCTCAGAATCTGAAAGTGGAAGATGTGGAAACGAAGCTTTCGTGCGAGACTTCCCTCAGAATCTGAAAGTGGAAGATGTGGAAACGAAGCTTTCGTGCGAGACTTCCCCCAAAAAGTGAAAGTTGAAGATGTGCAAGCGAAGCTTTCGTGCGAGACTTCCTTCAAAATCTGAAAGTGGAAGATGTGAAAACGAAGCTTTCGTGCGAGACTTCCTTCAAAATCTGATCTCTTGGCTGTGAGATCTCTTGGCTGTGAGATCTCTCGGCTGTGGAGAGCTCTTGGCTGTGAGATCTCTTGGCTGTGGAGAGCTCTTGGCTGTGAGATCTCTCGGCTGTGGAGATCTCTTGGCTGTGGATCTCTTGGCTGTGAGATCTCTTGGCTGTGAGATCTCTTTGCTGTGGAGATCTCTTTGCTGTGAGATCTCTTTGCTGTGAGATCTCTTTGCTGTGAGATCTCTTGGCTGTGAGATCTCTTGGCTGTGAGATCTCTTTGCTGTGAGATCTCTTTGCTGTGAGATCTCTTGGCTGTGAGATCTCTTGGCCCGTGATAGTGGTGATTGTGATAGTGGTGGTTGTGAAAGTTGTGATAGTGGTGAGTGTGATGTTAGTGATTGCGATGTTGGTGATTGTGATGTGGTGGTTGTGATGTGGTGGCTGTGATAGTGGTGATTGTGATTGTGATTGTGATAGTAGTGATAGTGGTGATTGTGCTTGTGGTGATAGTGATAGTGGTGGTTTTGATGTGGTGTTTGTGATAGTGGTGGTTGTGATAGTGATGATTGTGACAGTGGTGATTGTGACTGCGGTGGTTGTGATAGTAGTGATTGTGATCGTGGGGATTGTGATAGTGGTGATTGTGAAAGTGGTGGTTGTGATAGTGATGATTGTGGCAGTGGTGATTGTGACAGTGGTGGTTGTGATAGTAGTGATTGTGATCGTGGGGATTGTGATAGTGGTGATTGTGAAAGTGGTGGTTGTGATAGTGGTGATTGTGATAGTGGTGGCTTTGATTGTGGTGATAGTGATAGTGGTGGTTTTGATGTGGTGTTTGTGATAGTGGTGGTTGTGATAGTGATGATTGTGACAGTGGTGATTGTGACAGTGGTGGTTGTGATAGTAGTGATTGTGATCGTGGTGTTTGTGATAGTGGTGATTGTGATGCGGTGGCTGTGATAGTGGTGTTTGTGATAGTGGTGGTTGTGATAGTGATGATTGTGACAGTGGTGATTGTGACAGCGGTGGTTGTGATAGTAGTGATTGTGATCGTGGGGATTGTGATAGTGGTGATTGTGAAAGTGGTGGTTGTGATAGTGATGATTGTGGCAGTGGTGATTGTGACAGTGGTGGTTGTGATAGTAGTGATTGTGATAGTGGTGGTTGTGATAGTGGTGATTGTGATAGTTGTGTTTTTGATTGTGGTGATAGTGATAGTGGTGGTTTTGATGTGGTGTTTGTGATAGTTGTGGTTGTGATAGTGATGATTGTGACAGTGGTGATTGTGACAGTGGTGGTTGTGCTAGTAGTGATTGTGACCGTGGTGATTGTGATAGTGGTGTTTTTGATGTGGTGTTTGTGATAGTGGTGGTTGTAATAGTGAAGGTGTGACAGTGGTGATTGTGACAGTGGTTGTTGTGATAGTAGTGATTGTGATCGTGGTGATTGTGATAGTGGTGATTGTGATAGTGGTGGTTGTGATAGTGGTGATTGTGATCGTGGTGATTGTGATAGTGGTGGTTGTGATAGTGGTGATTGTGATCGTGGTGATTGTGATAGTGGTGATTGTGGCGGTGGTGATTGTGATTTTTCAAGCTCTGTTACACGGAAGTTAGAGCTTCAAACTTCCTTTGACAATGATAGTTCCAAGTAAAAATGGTATACTCCCCGATTGGTTTTGTCTGAAGATGGTGCACCGCCAATTACCAAATTATGATCACAACTGACATGGTGGGAAGTAACATGCAATAACATGATACAACATGTAGGTGATGGAAGAACTGTGCCAGAAAGATATGACCCTGACCCATCCACAGCAGCTCCACCCATTGGGAGTCCGAACATCATTTTTTCTTTGGAAACATGAGGAAACCAGCAATTTCTTGGCCTTATATCAAGTTTTTGAATCATTTTTTGTGCAAATGATATCAACATACATTGACATTCAATCACTGTAATCCACAATTCGCAGTTTTTTTTTTGCGATGACATTTCTGGGATGAAAAAAATCCCATTCCAATTTTCGGCGATTTTTCTCTCAGATGCCTCAGGTGCATCTTCAAGGAATATCGGAGCATCTGGCATGCAATGCAAGGACTTTATCATGCCGCTCAGCTGATGGGATGCCGGTTCATGGCACTTCCAAAAAAGGAACCTGGAAAACATACAGTACTTGGATGTCATCCCAGTTAGTAATTGGTTTATAGCCCATTTATAGCGACGGGCAACTACTTAGAACAAATTTTGGAAAAATCGGAAAACAAACACACGAGGAAAACTACTTAGAACTAAAACCGTAACCATCCGAACCCCACTACTTAGAACAAAAACAAGCACACTTAGAACAAAAACAAACACCATTATGTAACAATTTTAGCAAACATTGCCATTCAAAACAACATGTTATAACAATTTTGGCAAACATTGCCATTCAAAAAACATGTTTCATGATTTTTGATGTATGCTATTCCCCAGACACCATGTCTAATTTTGCAACCTAAATGTGATTTGTCCTAAGTGTGGGTTTCGCCAGCCTAAATACGCACATGTACAAGTATAGACACAAACGTATAAATGCATATAGGTTCAAATGTGTATATATATATATTTATGGATAATGGCAAAATGTGATTTGTTCTAAGTGTGGGTTTCGCCAGCCAAATACGCACATGTACAAGTATAGACACAAACGTATAAATGCATATAGGTTCAAATGTGTGCATATATATATATATTTATGGATAATGGCAAAATGTGATTTGTTCTAAGTGTGGGTTTCGCCACCCAAATGCGCACATATACAAGTATAGATACAAACGTATGAATGTATATAGGTTCAAATGTGTGTATACATATATATATATATATATATTATAGATAGTGACAAAATGCAATTTGTTCTAAGTGTGGGTTTCGCCGCCTAAATACTTACATATACAAGTATAGTCACAGATGTATAAATGCATATAGGTTCAAATGTGTATAAATATACATATTCTATGGATAATGACAAAATGTGATTTGTTCTAAGTGTGGGTTTCGCCAGCTAAATACGCACATATACAAGTATAGACACAGACGTATAAATGCATATAGGTTAAAATGTGTATATATATATGAATATGTATAACGACACAATGTGATTTGTTCTAAGAGTGGATTTCGCCACCTAAATACGCCATGTACAGTATAAAGACAAAGGTATATTTGTATAGGTTCTAATGTGTATAAATATACATATTCTATGGATAATGACAAAATGTGATTTGTTCTAAGTGTGGGTTTCGCCGCCTAAATACGCACATATACAAGTATAGACACAGACGTATAAATGCATATAGGTTCTAATGTGTATAAAGATGCATATTCTATGGAAAATGACAGAATGTGATTTGTTCTAAGTGTGGGTTTCGCCAGCTAAATACGCACATATACAAGTATAGACACAAACGTATAAATGCATATAGGTTCAAATGTGTACATTTAAATATATGTAAATAAATATAAATATGGATAACGACAAAATGTGATTTGTTCTAAGAGTGGGTTTTGCCACCTAAATACGCCATATACAGTATAGAGACAAACGTATACAAATATATAGGTTCAAATGTGTGTATATATATATTTACGCATAATGACAAAATGTGATTTGTTCTAAGTGTGGGTTTCGCCACCTAAATACGCACATATACAAGTATAGACACAAACGTGTAAATGCATATAGGTTCAAATGCGTGTATATATATATATTTATATAATATGGATAACGACAAAAT